TACTTGTTTCAGACATTAAAAATCACATCCACAAAAAGAATCTGTAAATGATTGTTCATTGCAGGTTATAATTGCCAAAAGCTAGAAACAGAACTTTCCACTAGATGCTGATGACTGGGACATCATACTTCGTAAGAACAAGGAACAAACTATTGATACATGCAATAATTTTGATGGATCTCAAAAGTGTTATGCTGTCGGACAAAAGCCAAAATCAAAAGGTCACATACAGTATGGCAAGGTATGAAAATGACAAAGTTACAGAGAGGGAAAAGAGATAACCAGTTACCACCAAGAGTCAAGGAAAGGGTGGGGGAGGTGAGTAAAGATGTGGCTCAAAGGAGACCCTGGATGAGGGGACAGTTTTGTATCTTAACAGCAGTGGTGAAAAAATGTTGCAAAAGCATGTACATACTTATAAAGATTTCCTGTTCCTGATACACTGAGTATGTAAAATGTAAACATAGGTAACTTAAGTGGTTACACACACAAGGACCTCTGTGAGTCTGCAACTTCCTATGAACCTATACTTACTCCAAAATAAAATGGCCTTAAAAATACAACCAACATTAAACCATCTAAAGTCTTAAAAACATGGGAAGAATTTGGAAGTGTGTCAGAAAGGCTGAGGCTAAACAGGAATGGCTGCAGCACACTAAAAAGAGAACTGGAGAGTCTGACCACCTCCTGAAATAGTTCAATCAAGCAATTATGAGGTACCTTGTATTTGCAAAATGTTGTAATAGTGGATTTAGTAAAAAAAAAAAAAAAAGGTCAAGTACCTACCTCTGAATTAGTTTACTCTCTAAGGAGATATGATAGGCTATTATTAAAGGCATCCACAAAACAGTTGCCTCTATGTTCTCTGTCACAGTTTTTCTTTTGCTCTAATTCATTCTTGAAGTTCCTGCTCAGTGTCACTTCAGGGAAACCACCCCTCATTCTGGGTTGTTACTGGATGTCTATTTTCCTCATTGGGCTAAAATTTCCAGAAGGAAATGACAGGTCTGTGTAGCTCACACTGCATTCCTTAACCTCATGTTATGACTGGCAAGTTGCAGAAGTTTAACATGCATTACATGATACAATTCACACAGCACTTTTTAAAGGCTGAAGAAGAAAGGTCTTTAATTTGAGGCCCTTGTAAGTTTTGCTTTAATATTTTTTATTATTTTTATTTTATGTATATGCGTGTATTGCCCGCAGGTAGGTGAGCACCCGTGTTGTGCAATGCCCGCAGAGGTCAGAAGAGGCTGTCGGATCTCCTGGAACAGGAGTTACGGACAGTTCTTAGCTGCCATATGGGTGCTGGGATTCGAAACCAGGTCTTCTGCAAGAACAGTCAGTGTTCTTAAGTGCTGAGCCACCTCTCCAGCCCCAGAGGCCCTTCTAAGTTTTATACAGAGATCTTGGAGAGAGCTGGGGGATGAGGGGATGAGGGGTTGGGGTGTTGAGGATTGCTACACAAAGCTTCAATTACAAAGGAGCAGACAGAGCTAAGTTACTGGGATTTATAAGAATCAGTGATCAACTTCAACCTGAGAAATTCATTTATACGGAACAGAAAGTTCCTGCAGCAACTAAAGAATGTTCAAGTTCAGAACAAAATAGGTACATCAAGCCCTTCTGCAGTCAGAGTCCACTAAGGAATTCAAACAGAGGACTGGCTGTCCAAAGTGTTCTGCAGGAAAATTAGTGAAGTGGATTTGAACTGAGGCAAAAAAAAATAAAGCAAGATTTAAGAGGGCACATGTGCAGTTCCAGCTACTCAGGGGGCTGAGGCAGGAGGGTCACTTAAATTCAGGAGTTCAAGATCAGCAATATCATAAGACATCCCTCTCAAAAAATAATTAAGGACCAGTGAAATGGCTCAGCAGGTAAAGGTGCTTGCCACCTACCCTGACAATAGAGAACAGACTTCAAGTTATCCTCTGACCTCCCCATACACTCTGTGGCACACATGTACACACACACACACACACACACACACACACACACACAAAATAAGTGCACAGATATTTTTTAGTAATCATAATTAAAAGGACACTGTGATAGTGTACACACAAAACAATAATGTCCTAAAGAATTCAGAAACTTAAGAAACACTAATAAAAAGAAACAGAGCTTAACACCTGACTTCACAGAAGCATAAAAGGAAGAAAAGCCTAAGATTCAGGGAATTTAACAGTGAGTGATTAGTAAAGACAGTATGCAATTGGGTGGGAAGTCATAATAAATTCTCTTAGGAGAATGAATGTACTTTGTCAGAAGTAGTGGGTGACATCCACACAAAGACTAGAGACAGAGGAAAGTGAAGTCAGGCAGGACAGATGTGCAAGTTGAGTAGTCCAAGCAATCGAGGTCTCTCAGGAAGAAAGTATCAAGGATTGTAGATGGAAATCATTTAAAACAATGTGACTTCCCATTTGGTCAATTTACCAAACTCAGAAGTCATTCAGACTTGATAGCATTTTTATATCCTTTTAAGTATACAATACAGGTTTTGAATTTAACTGGTACACAGTAAGTAGCTTATTAAGCTTATTGAAGAGTGTGTGTGTGTGTGTGTGTGTGTGTGTGTGTGTGTGTAGAGACCAGAGGTCAACAGGTCAACATCCAGTGTCTTCCTGTATTTTTTGAGACAGGGTCTCTCATTAAATCTTTCCCTGAGCTCCCTGTTTTGGCTAGTCTGACTGGCCAGCAAACCAGCCCGCAAGATAGGCCTGTCTCTGCCCCCCAGCACTTGGGTTACAGGTGTGCACCACCCTACCTAGCTTTTTACATGGGTGTTGGGGATCTGAACTCAGGTCCTCATGCTTGTTCAGCAAACACTTTATCCATTGAGCAGTCTCCTCAACACCCAGTAATTTCTAATTAATATAAAAAGCACTGCTTTTATAAGCTGTTTGGAAGGTAAGATCAGTGAGTTTAGACATTTTAAATCATTTATCCAAAGCTCTGATGTCCCAAGGCCCTAGAAATTTAGAACTGAAAAGTTACACTGAAGAGCTATGAAAACCTTTAAATATGCTTCCAAATGGGATTAGGGCTAAAGCAAATTCTAACTGAAAGTGGGAAGTAACTTTTCAAGAAGTTTTGAATGAAATAAGCAGAATATAATCATTTATTAGGGAAATAAATGGAAATTTTTCACTGTATACCAAAACAGAATGGACAAAAAGGCAAAAAAAAAAAAAAAAAAATCTCAGGTGGGGCAGGGACTGCTCAGGGGAACAGCACTTAGCTAATGTGCTCAAAGCCCTGGGTTACATCGCGGTGGAAAACAAAACAAAGCAAACTACAAAACCAAAACAGGTAAACTAAAGGATAACTGAAATCAAGATGATGGCATCATCAAGATGATGACATCATCAAGATGATGACATAATCAGAAGGAACTGAAGCTGGGCATGGTGGTATGCCTTTAATCCCAGCACTTGGGAGGCAGAGGCACGTGGATCTCTGTGAGTTCAAGGTCTACGTAGCCAGTTGCGGGTTAGCCAGGGCTACTTAGTGAGACCCTGTCTCAAACAAACAAACAAACAAAAAAGGGAATTTAACAATGAAGGCACATCTTTTGTTTCTTTTACTACAATGAGGGAAGTCACTGGCCTGTTTTCCCACAAAACATGATGAGAATCACAAAGTGGAATAAAGGGCTAATATACGTCAATACCTGGCTGAACAGTATTTCTCTTCTTGCAATTTAAAAATTAGGAAATGGTTTACTAAAATGAATTCAGGGATAGATTTGTTGACAGGCTTCCCAAACGACATTTGCACTGAATTGTAACTTAAGTTTTAGCCTGCCACATGGCTCTAACTCTAAATCAAGTCGTGTACTACCGTGTCTTTAAATATGGTGTGAGAGCTCAAGAAAAGAAAGTAGTTAGAGGGTCTGGAGAGTTGGCTCAGCGGTTAAGAACATTGGTTGTTTTTGCAGAAGACCCGGGTTCGAATCCCAGCACCCACATGGCAGCTAACAACGGTCCTTAACGCCAGTCCCAGGGGATCCGACAGCCTCTTCTGACCTCCGACACGGGTGCACTTACCTACATGCAGGCCAAGCATACACATAAAAAAAATAATTTTTTTTTTTAAAAAGAAAGTAATTGGAGTTACAAGTCTGGAGGAACCTGTAAAATCACCTATAATCCAGCTACCCTCTCAATAAGGCTCTGATGGTCAAGCATTCTCTGCCTGCTTACTTCTTTATTACCAACAACAGCAAATGAATTATTGGCAAACTGACCACTCTGAGTCCAACCGATAAAATTTGTTGTAAAACTCTCCAATGTTATCTCCCAGAAACTTCCAGTCCTGGTCCTGTTCTTTGAAGGGCAATATAGTGAGGAGTGAAAATCGTCTTCCTGTTTCGCTGTTTTTGTTTTTTAACTTAAGAAGAAGAAAAAACTAGTATCACCTCTTGGCGTGTCAATACGCTCCCTTCTTCCAATAGTAGGGAAACTTAACTTTTTTTTCTTCACCCCTTCGGCCCCTCCTTCAACGTTTCACTCTCCCCAGGGGCCGGGAGGACTGACTACCAGGCAAAGGAAACAGTTTCTCTAATCTCAGAGCCGGGCACAGGGGCTTGAATAACCACACACATTAAGAATTGCGGCTAAGAAGCAGGCGGCCCAGGTGCTGGGACGCGACAGGAGGCACGGCGACCTAGCCCGGCAGCTCGGTGGCCGCGGGAGCCACAGCCGGGGGAGCGGTGTGGACGCGCGCTCCAGGCGGGCGTGCACCTCCGCAGGCGGCAAGCTCGGGGAAGTGCACGGCCAAGCCTCCGCCGCGCCAGGCCAGCTCCCTGCAGCCCGACCTGCCCGACGCGGTCCGGCACCCGCACCGGTGGGAGCCCAAGAGGTGGAGCCGCCCGGGCTGGGCCGGGGTCCGGTGCATCCCAGCGGAGGCCACCGCAGGGGGTGGTGCCCGGGAGGCTCACGCCGCCGGGAGCAAGGCAGGACGGGGACTGTCCGCCACCACAGCGGGTCACTCACCGAGAGGACGCTCATGCGGATTGGGGTCTCCAACAGGCACGCCATCTTGAGCCGTCCCACCCGGCTACTGCCGGCTCCGGCGTGCGGCCGGCACTTTCGACAGCAGCCTATCGGGCCAAACTGCGGGAGCCTCCGTAGGAAGCCGGGCAAGCTGCCCGGAACCGCCGGGCTCCCCACGCCGCGCGAGCACAGGACAGACCCGGCAGGAGGCCCGGGAAAGGGGCAGCTGCTCCAGGCGCCTGCTTACGAATCGACCGCTCAGAAACAGCAGCTACTCACGGAGACGGTCAGAAGTAGGCGGGGACCGCGGCCTCCGCATGCGCAAAGGTCCGCGGCCCCACCTCGCTGGGGGCGGAACCTCGCTCAGGCTCTGCCCCCGGCTGGAACTGATAAATTGCAGTTTACCGTGTCTCTTACCAAAGCGCTAGTCGGTGGAGTTACCTACGTAGTTTGAAGTTCAGTTTGCATTCGTTAGTGCATTCTACACCAAACTCCTAGTGCCTTTAGTGTCTCGGTTTTATAGGCGATGAAACTGGTCTGGAAACCAGGTCTTAGGCCACCAAGAAAATTGTTTCACGATTCGACGCCTAGGTATGACCTGTTCAGCTTCGTGTGCCCGACCCATTTATTCTGATACTCTCGAGCCAGACGCCTGAATTTAATTGTGGCTACTCCAGTTAACGTTCCCTTGGATAGGATACTTAGCCGCCTTATACACTTATCTTGAATGTAAAATAAGGACTAACGAGAATAAATGAGCTTATAAAGTAGTTGCGACATGCCTGAAACGTGGAAAGCATTAACAGAGCGTTTCTCCAGCCTGAGTCAAATAAGGGAAAAAGTGGGTCAAATCTCTGAATATTTCATACTAAAACACTAATAAATGAAGCTATCCTTAATTCAGGCTATCATCACCTCTCTCCTGGACAAAGCAAGAGCCAAGTGCTCTTGTAGGAAAAAGCCTTTCACTTTGCTCCTCATTTCCTCTTGTACTTTGGTTTCTAAATTCATTGTAACATTTATCACCCTTGCTTATAGATCTGTTACAAAATGTTGGACTTATGGAAGGCAGGAATTTTATTGCACATCCTCCTGCTGCAACAGTACATCCTAAACCTCAACAATGTGCACCCTGCCTACATAATTTTTGTCAATCTGCGCCCAGGTATTCTATTCATTCAATAGTTTATTTTAAAATGTTTTATTTATTATTATGGGGGCATAAACACCATGGCACAAGTGTGGAAGTCTTAGGACAACTTTGGGGGTTCTTTCCTTTTACTTGAGTCCTAGGGATTGAATTCAGGTCCTCAGGCTCTATGGCAGATAGGTGCCTTTACTCTCTGAGCCATCTTTCCAGTTCCATATTCATTCAATAGTTTAAAGCCAAATTCAATCCATTTAAAAAATTTAGTCTTGCCCTTAGTTATAATAGTCTGTAAAATCAAATTTGTTGTTTTCCTTTTTATTTTAGTACAAACATTTATAAATACAAAAATGATGCCGGGAGTGGTGGTGCAACACCTTTAGACCCAGCACTTGGGAGAAAGACAGGTGGATCTCTGTGATTTTAAAGCCAGCCTGGTCTACATAGTGAGTTCCAGGTCAACTGGTGATACAGGAAGACCCTGTCTCAAAAAGACCAAAATAAATAAATGTTTTAATGGCTATCTGTGTCACAACACCTAAAATTATGTCATATTATGCCTACTACTACCAGGTAGGAGTAACTGCACATGGCCCATGAAAACATTGACTGAATATTCAGTTGACAATTGTATGATAGTTGTTAATGCTGTATATGATCTATATTTCATCCATTAACTCAAGCAATACATCCTCCAGGAAGCTCCCCCAGCAAGTGTGAGTTAGGTGACTCTTCCCCTACATATCTTCTTTTTTGTTGTCTTTATGTAGTGTGTGTGTGTGTTTATGCTTGTGTTTGGGTCAGATGACAACTTGCAGGAGTTGGTTCTCTCCTATTATGTGGATTCCAGGGATTGAACTCAGATCATCAAACTTGGTGGCATGTGCTTTGACCTGCTGAGCCTTCTTACCAGCCCCCATTTTTCCCCATCTTCAGGAGTCAGTTGGTTCTTTCCTGTAATGTAGCATCTCTCACAATATATTGCAATTAGGGAGGTTTGGGGGAGAGTAGCTTTGCTTGTTCATATTATACACTTCAGGGAAATTCCAATTATTTTATCTTGTTGGTCTTTTATCTCAGTGCCTAACATAGGCATGTGTTAAATGATTGTTGAATAATTGGTTTTGGCTTATCTGGAGCCTGGGACAAAGATGCGAGTATAGGCAGTTTATTTGGGAAGTACTTCCACAGAATAGAATTGGTGAGTCAGAAAGAGGAAAAAAAAAAAAAAGAAGAAAAAGTCAGTATAAAGGTTTGCTATTGAGATGCTGGAGCAGGAGTCCACCACTGCCTTGCTTGAGGATTTCCCCAGGGCTGTTAACTTCCTGCCCTTCTGAACTGTGTTTATGCGAAGAACAGAAAGTCTGCAGGTTCGCGCTTGCAGTGGAAGGCAGGCAGCAACAACCTGAGCACTTGTAGAACTGGCATGACAGCTGTATCTGAAATGAGGTATGGGAGGTAGGAAATGGGCAGCCAACAACTCTGCTACCAGGCTTTTCTGTTTTCTTAGACTGACATTACCATTTTACAGGAAAAAAGCACAGAACAGCAAAACCTCTAAACCTGGGAGGCAGAAATCTTCAAGTTCAGCTTTGGCTGCAAAATAACTTTAGGCACAATGTGATCTAAGTAAGAGTAGAGACTGAGGGTTATGGGGAAATTTTGGTTCTGTCTTTTTTATAAAGCTACCCAAACCAGACACAATCAGAAAAAAAAGATGAGAAAAGAAATGAAAAAAAGAGGCAAAATTACACAACAAACTTTATAATGAGCATAGATGCAAAAATTGTCAAATACTTGAAACCAAGTTTGAGGACACATATAAAAAAATCATTCTCCATAATATTATAGTTAAGACACTAAATATACAGGACAAAGAAAGTACATTGAAAACTGCAAGAGCAAAACAGTACATCACATATAAAGTCAGGTCCAACAGAGAAACATCAAATTTCTCAACAGAAAAGTTAAAAAGCCAGAATGTCATGGAATGATGTTGTTCCAGTTCTGAAAGAACAGCAGCTGCCTGTGCAAACTACTATACAAAACAAAATATCTGTCATAATTGGTGGAGAAAGTTCACTATTATATGAGAAAAGAAGCCAGCTCCACTGAGGACGCTCATCCTCGTAGGATTCTTTGGACTGAAGAGAAGAGAATCTATCAAAGAAGCTATAGAGACAAATGATGCTAGAACAGTGTTTAACCACAGGAAGATTAGGAAACACCAAACACTACAAAATCAATTAAATGACAGGAAATAATACACACACTTCAATAATAACTCTGAATATTAATGGTTACAATCCTTCAATCAAAAGACAGACTAAGCAAGGCATGGTGGCATACACCTTTAATCCTAGCACTCCAGAGGCAGAGACAGGTGGGAGATCAAAACCACCCGGGTCTACTTGCTGAGTTCAGGCCAGCTGGGACTGCAGGGAGACCCTATCTCAAAAAAAAGGACTAGCATATCAAATTAAAAACAATATCTATCTATCAGCTTCCTCTAAGAAATACACCACCATTAAAGATAGACATTAACTTAGACTGAAGCGTGGAAAAAGGAATTCCAAGCAAATGGGACCAGGAAACAGGTGTTGCTGTTCTTATATCTGACAGACTCTAAACCAAAGTTAGACAGAAAAGATAACAGAAGCCACTTTATACTGATTAAATGAACAATACAGCAAGAGGACATTAGAATTCTAAATTTATACACACTGAATGCAGGAGCATCTTGTAATATAGTAATAATAAATGACTTCAGTTCTTTACTCTTACCAATAGATAGGTCGCCCCTCAGTCAACTAAAAAAAAAAAAAAAAGAGAGGAAAATCAGCATTAATGACATCATAGATCAAATGATCTAAACAGAAATGTACAGAACATCCCATCCAAATACTCCAGAATACAAATTCTTATAAGCATCCCAGGAAACAATATGCTATTGGCTAACAAATGAGTTATCGAAGAAATCAAGAAGGAAATAAAAAATTCTTAGAATTAAATGAAAATGAAAACCCAAAATACCAAAATCTATGGGGTACAATGAAAACAGTACTAAGAAGAAACAGAAATGTACAGAACATCCCATCCAAATACTCCAGAATACAAATTCTTATAAGCATCCCAGGAAACAATATGCTATTGGCTAACAAATGAGTTATCGAAGAAATCAAGAAGGAAATAAAAAATTCTTAGAATTAAATGAAAATGAAAACCCAAAATACCAAAATCTATGGGGTACAATGAAAACAGTACTAAGAAGAAATTTTATAGCTCTAAGTGCCTACATTAGAAAATCACAAAGATCTCAAATAAATAATTCAATGGTGCCCTAGAAAAACACAGACAAGCCAAATCGAAAAGCAGTAGAGGTAAAGAAATAAGATCAGGGCAGAAGTTAATAAAAAAGAAAAAAAAAATTTCAAAGACTTAGACAAGGGTTAGTTCTTCTAAAAAATGAACAAGACCAATAAACCCTTAGCCAAACTAACCAAAATAAAGAAAAAGAAGAATCAGATTAATAAAATTAGAGATGAAAATGGAGACAGTAAAACTGATACTAATTCAGAAAGTCTTAAGAACCTACCTTAAAAACTTATATTCCACTAAGTTGGAAAATCTAAAATAGATGGATGGATTTCTAAATAAATTTGAGCCAAGATGATGTAGAAAACTAACAGATTTGTAAGAAAGAAAAAGATTAAAACAGTAATAAATTTCCCAACTAAAAAAAAAAAAAAAAATCCAGGCAGTCCCAGACAGAGTCACTGCAGAATTCTACTAGAACTTTAGAAAAGAACAAAAACAGGGCTGGAGAGATGACTCAGTTGTTAAGAGCACTGGCTGCTCTTGCAGAGGGCCCTGGCTCAGTTCCCAGCACCCACATGGTGGCTGACAACTATCAGTAACTCCAGTGCATAAGTGCACTTCCATACAAGCAAGTAGAACACTCATACACATAATAACACAAATTAATTTTTAAAAAAGAACTAAAACCAACATTTCCTCAAATTATTTTAAAAAATAGGAAAGGAAGGAATGTTTTTTAAGATTTAGAAGTTTTTCTTTCATATGTGATTATCTACATGTATGTAGCTGTACCACTGGTGTGCCTGGTATTCAGAAGGAATTCAGAAGAG